GAGTGTTTGTGTGATGCGGCGTTGGGCCTGTAACAGCGATAGGTGATTCCGCGAGCCGCTCAGACAGCCCGATAACAGGGAGGAGCGATCCTCGGAGCAAGTGATTAATTGGAGGAATTAAGAAAGGATTGAGATGAAGGAGAGCTAGAGTGAGAGCGCTTCATTCAGGGACAGCAATGTATGTGTCCACAAGGGATTCCCGCCTTGGCTCACCGCCTTTCAATCGGTCTATCCGCTATACAAATGTCCTACAGATTCATTTGCATGGAGGAAGCTATACTAATTTCCAAGGTTGCTGTGTGACATTAGTAAAATGTAAGCTTGGACTCTGAGTAGCCATTTAGACAAAAAACTAAAGGCTCCAATACTTGCAATATGCTTCCCTGTACAGATATATATATAATCATCGCCCTGATGTATAAACTTGGAACTGCAAGACTAATTAATGACCTCTATACTATGGACATGCCTCAATTGCATCAATCATTTTCCAAAATAAATTGTTGATATCGTTACATTGATTGAATACACAAATCATATGTGGTCTACATATGTAATGGCTCTAGGACTAAGCCTAAACTTTAGATGGTTAAACTCACAAAACATGTATTCAAACAAAGAGACCTCTAGTAGTAGTTACAGAGATTAAAATTCACAGCCATTCCAGAATTGCTGTTTAGTTGCCGCGCTCGAAGTAAGTCCACTGGCCAGGTCGGGGCTTCTCCTCAAGCTCCTCCCACCTGTAAAAGTGTCAGCAGTAAGTCTAGACCGCAAAGTTCGAATTTTCACTTACACCTTGGCCTTGGCCAGCTCATCCACAAGCTTGAGCTCAGTCTCTGCGACCTGGATGATCTCCTCAATAAGGCCGGCGCCGATCTGCTGTTCAACGTGAGAGATCCTGCGCAAGAGGTTAGCATTCTATTGCCTGATTGTTCAAGAATTCGGAGGCGCAGATGCACGTACTGGTCGGCATCAAGGGCAGGCTCGCTCTCCCATTTCATATCTTGGTGGTAGAAGTCAAACTCGGCCTTTTCGGTTGTCTCGCTAGCCTCGTTCATGATTTTAGCCCATTCCGCTTCTTGTTGCGGGGTACGGGCGGGGCCCTCAGTTGTGCCTGACAGGCCTTCGCCATCCCATTCTTCGCCACGAGCATTGTCGGATCCATCCTTCTGTTGGGCAGCGGCATGGGTGAAGGTGCCGTCGGCGCGCTGGACCTTAGCGAACCGCTCAGGTTCGGATCCCACGGTCTTCCGCACACGCTCCAACCAGGCATCGAATCCGGCGGGCTTTTGCGATTCAATGACCTGGAGACGATGGCGGGTCAAAGCTTCAACGGATTGGCGGTAGGCGGAGGATTCGGGGAACGCCTGCAACTTCTGCAGAGTAGTCGAGTAAAGGTAGATTAAAGTAGGGCGAGGGCTGGGGTGGGTGAAAAGGCCCGTCAATCCGGTAGGAGCAAAAGGCTCCAAATACCGAGGCTTGACATTGGCCAGCAGCCGGAGTGTAGAGCGCATTGTTAATGAATTTGGTGATATTGAAGTCGCTATGTTCCAGGGAGATGAAGTGTTGAAGTCGGCCCGGAGCGGATTAACCTGCGCTCCACCCCCAAGCGGCAAGGGGAAACACAACTCACCTTTTCCGATACAATCAAAGCCTCACATCTGGTTCTTTGTTTGGGCTGTGTGCAGTTCTATTTTGCTTTCAGCTACGGGGCGCTATAGTCGCTAAGTGCTGTTTCTTTCTGCGACGTGACCAGTGCCCACCCGAGTCACCAGTATTCGCCCCCATTCAATGTGCCACCTGTGACATTTCGCGATTATCCTCCCTACTTCGACCAAAGTCCTTCGTTTTGCTCAGCTGCGACATCTTGAAACTACTTATACTCTCCTTTAAACTCCTACCCGAGTTCTTCGCCTTTTTCTTCCATCAAAATGAAACCGTCTTGGCTGGGGTGGTCCCTCCTCTCACTGTTGGCAGCGCCTGCTTTGGGCACGCCTTCAGATGCTTCCTTCAACCAGGGATCTGGAGATACACTTGTCAAGCGGGGGAGTCGTGGAGTGGATCCGGACACACCCACAATATTCAATGGTATTGAAGTGCCCCCGTTGACGCAGTTGACCCCGGATAATTTTGAGGAAGTGACCAAAAATGGTCACTGGTGAGGAACCCTCCCGCAGCAATTAATAAACCGCTCAAGTCTCTAACTATTATAGGATGATCAAACATTATTCCCCTAATTGCCCGCATTGCCGGACGGCGGCCCCAATGTACCAGACCCTATATGAGTACTACTACGTGAGTATCTATTCCATTATTTTAACCTTTGGGGCTCGAATCTGATTAGTGATAGACCTCAAATCCCTTATTCCTCTCCGGATTGAAGCCCGATGCGCTCTCATCTCTAGACTCCTTCACTGGCTACTACAATCTCCATTTCGGGTCCATAAACTGCCTGGCCTTCGGCGATTTCTGCAAAAAGTTGAACATCGAATTTTTCCCCGCGTGGGCATTCTATCATATGGGTGTTCAGACCGATCCACCCGCTGGTGCCAAAACGATGTCAGAGATTGGCGCTATGATCGAAGCCAAGCTCGAGACGATCAAGCCTGGGTCCCGACCTTCGCAAGGCGTCCAAGTCCCAAAGGCTGGTGCTAAGAGCATGGAAATGACCGCTAAACCCGAATTGGTAAAGCCTGGCGCGAAAACAGCTGTTGAGAAGCAGAGTATTGAGACCGCAGAAAAGGAAGGCGTTAGCCCTGAGTCTGTCAAGGCCAAGCTCCAAGGACGGCCTGCTAATCCCCAGGGCGTTTCTATCCCACTCACTGCGGAGAGCTTCCAAAGCCTTGTCACGACTACCCATGATCCCTGGATCATCAAGTTTTACGTTCCTTGGTGCCATCATTGCCAGGCCCTAGCACCAAACTGGAACTCGATGGCCAAGGAGATGAAGGATACTCTCAATGTTGGTGAAGTGAACTGTGAACTTGAAAAGCGACTTTGCGAAGATGCTCGCGTGGGCGCCTACCCGACGATCTACTTCTTCCGTGGCGGCGAGAGAGTCGAATATACCGGTCTTCGTGGCTTGGGAGATCTAATCTCGTACACAAACAAAGCCGTCGGCGTGGGATCAAGCATTCAGGATGTTGATGCGACTACTTTTAAGCAGTTGGAAGAAACCGAAGAGGTTTTGTTCCTGTATCTCTACGACCACGCGACGACATCTGAAGATTTTGAGGCCATGAATCGCCTTACCCTCAGTCTTGTGGGACACGCTCGCATTGTCAAGAGTGATAGTGCTGCTCTTTCCGAGCGGTTCAAGATCTCTACCTGGCCTCGTCTTCTGGTCGTTCGCGACCGACGTCCCAACTACTATAATGCCCTTGCTCCTAAGGACATGAGAGATTTCCGTCAAATATTGTCGTGGATGCAGACTGTGTGGCTGCCCATTGTACCTGAGCTCACCGCATCCAACGCCCAAGAAATTATGGACGGAAAGTTCGTTGTTCTGGGACTCCTGAGCCGCCGCCGTAGCGATGACTTCAAGCAGTCCAAGCGCGAGCTGAAGGAAGCTGCTCTTGAATGGATGGACAAGCAGGTTCAACTGTTCCGCCTTGAGCGAGCCGAACTTCGTGATTCCAAGCAACTGCGTATCGAAGAAGCCGATGACCGCAATGATCAGCGTGCACTGCGGGCTGCGAAGAACATGCGTATCACCATCCGCGAGGATGACAAGAAGCAAGTCGCATTTGCTTGGGTCGATGGCGACTTTTGGGAGCGTTGGCTGCGTACAACCTACGGTATCGACGTGGAAACCAGTGACCGCGTTATTATCAATGATCAAGATGTAAGTCGTCCCTCATGATGTTTGTCCGAGCACTATAACTGACTTCCGATAGAACCGCCGCTACTGGGATACCGCTTCAAGCGGAGCTCCTATCATGGCCTCCAGGACCTCCATTCTCGAGACCATTCCTCTCGTCATCGCTTCCCCTTCGAAGTTGTCACCCAAATCCACCATCGGCACATTCGAGACTATTTTCTTCTTCACTCGATCCCTCCTCAGCAGCCATCCTATCATCTTCTTCATCATCTTGGGTGCCGTGGTTGCTGTGGCCGCCATCTTCGGACGTGGACGTCTCAGACGTAATGCTGCGCGCGGCGGTATTATTGGCAACTCCACCAACAACGGTGGCTTCTTCCACCTGGACGGCAAGGAGGGTTTCCTGAACGGAAGCTCGACCGACAAAGTCGACTAATGAGACAAATGTACAGTTAGGGTGTTTGGCTACGCGGTTCTTATAATCTTTTGTTTCCACTGTATTTGATGCTGCTTTCCTCTCATGCGTCTGTTCAATCCTGTCTCAATTGAATCTTTTTTGCATGTCAGTCCGAGGGGTTTTTTGAAGCACATATTTTATTCCATTTCTTTTCATCACGCGAACTGTTGGAGTCTAGGCGCAGCTTCTCGAGAGCAAGGCTTCCTAGTATTAACTCCATAATCCTATTAGAATTTTTTTTTGACAAGTAGTTACCGTTACCTTCCCCTTCAGATCTTTCGTCCCTTCCCCATCTTCTAAGGTAATTGAAATCATTCAGGAAGGTGCGTGTCTCCTGCGAGTTTCCCCTACCCCCGAGAATTTTGGCAAGATTTTGGCACGTTGAGTTCAAGAAGGGCCATATAATGTGTCCGGTTACAGACGACGTATGTATTTCACGCTTTTCTTTTGTACACATGGCAGATGATGAGACGCAAACAAATCAATCGTAGAATTCTAGAACTCTGAGATGGACTGTCACATAAAAATCCTCATCCATCATTGACTTGATCAATATAAACTCATACTTCCAGGGTCGAACGAAAACAATTACGCCTCCTCTGATTGGCCACTAGCTTTGAAGTCACGTGCAAACTCGGGCACTCCCGGTTTTCGTCGACCACCAAGTGGCCAGCTCCTGTCTCCTAGCAATTGTCCCACCAAATCACTCCGGTGTCATTCAAAATGGTAAGTGCTTTCATATTCACAAGATGAGAAAACCTCATATTCTATTCCGAAGTTCCTCACCCACTCGCCCGCGCTCCGGGTAGAGCACAATCGGGCCATGAGTATCACAACCGGCTTCCGAGCCGCGGGATGAGACGCGATCGAAGATGTCACATCAATTGCTAACACATATTCTACAGTTCGCCTCTACCGCTCGCCGCGCCGCGGCCCAGGCCTCCGCCTCCACTTCCGCTTATGCGCCCAAGTGAGACTACCCCATATCCTTTTTCCTCGAACCCCGGATAGTACAATTTGGTCCGTAATCAGCATGCTGGGTGGAGCCAATGAAGCATGGATTGGCACTTTCCAATGCAACTTTCCTAGTTGATTGGATGCCCGTCTTTCCTCTCTCGCAGCGGAGCTTGACGGGTGTCTGGCATCTGTGGGGCGGGGATTACAAGCCCGTGGGCTTTGGGATAAAAAGAAAAGCCGGATTCAAACAAGGCAGATCGAACCAGGAACGAGAACACCAAGCTAACGCCTCGCTAATCTGCAGGTACACCATCCCCCGCACCGCCGCTGGTATGACTCTTGGCACAGCCATCCAGGTGTGAGTATATCCCGCATCCGACTCTCCCAGGTGGGACAGGATACAGGGGCTAACGATGTATTGAACAGTGGTTCCATCGCTGCTGGCTTCGGTGTTGCCCTTGGTAGCGGTGCCCTCTTCATCTTCGGCGAGGTTCCCCGTGTGCGCAACGATATCCTCCGCAAGCTTCCTTACCTCGATACCTACTACGACCGCACCATCCCCGCTGAGGACAACGTGAGTCATCTACGGTTAATTTGGAGGCTTGGATTCGATGCTAACTTTCTTATAGCCCTTCTAAATTATTCGCCAGGGGTATATACCTGTCTCCCTTTTGATCGATATGAATCGGGGCTTTCGGGGGGCAGGCTGGGGCTGCACTGTGTAGAATAGCGATGAAAGTCTTTTCTGTTTTTAATACCACATAGAAACAGTTGTTTCAAAGTAAATATCTATTTCTTGGTCTGTATGCGTGATTGTACTCCGTAGACTATCGACAGTTATGTAACTTTCCCTTAAATTATAGGGCTGAGAAACCTATAGCTCCTGGGAACTCCAGGACTCTTATATACCTCGGAGATCCGGATACTGCATGGGATGCTTTCTGAACTAGCCAAGAGTGTATCGCTGTAGATAGCGCTGTCGTCGTGGACTAGATCTCGGGATATTAATGACATATGTTGTACAACCAACAGGGGTTCTCCAGCATTCAATCCAAAGCCTCTTCCCCAACAAGGCAAGTCCATCCTCAGATAACAAGCCCCAAAAGGATACTAGCAGTCCTAGGGGGTTTCAGAAAGCCAAATACATTTGTAGCTAATCAGCACCTGAGCATAATCGACACGAGTCAAGCCCTTATCTTTGTTATCATGATAACCACATCTGCTGCAAGTACCACGCTAACCTTCAATGTTCTCTTAGGGCAGAAGTCCCGTGAGATACAACGCCTGGAGCTTCCCTGCTGGGACTGGCTACCCTCTCTGCCAAGATCGTAGCACCGATCGTCGAGGCCCTGTGCCTCGAATGAGCGGTGGTATCTCCCGTCTCTACAAATCACAAGCTTGCGAAGTAAGGCCATTCCCCTGCTCGAATAAGATACTTGTTTATTCAGCAGCTCATTATATCTTTTTAATTTATCAACATCGATGTCATTTGCCCTTATCGCGCCTCTTTGTACGGAGTACGGAGTACATTGCGGAAACAGCCTGGTTTCCATGAGGCGTTCCCCCTCACATATCCACCAGTCTTCGTCGTGCAACGGTGTCGGGTCGTCCGATAGATATCTATTATTCCAAGTTCGGTCTGGCTCTATTCCGGCTCGTTTAGAAACGCATGTCTAGTTGGTTCTTGAGATCGCCCATGCGCGGGGGCGAAAGCCAAAATGCCTCCGTGCTATGCATAGATAACATGACGGTACCCCCTGTCGGCCTGATGCTGAGCTATGTTATTATACTGTGATTTCCCTTGACTGTTGCTTGAAGGTGAAAACATTCTTGTTCACCCCTTGCATGGTCATCATTCTATTTCGTTGGTATATATATCGCATACATTAATTGCGGTACACCTGTTTACCTTGGCCATGGGCGCAAGCATGGAGACTAAAACGGCCGTTTCGGACATTTCTAAAAGACACCACGAGGTTAACGATGTCCAAGTGACTTCTGTGCTCCCGGATGGCGATGTGCCCTATACAGATCATGATATGGATGCCGATGAGAGGGTGATCACGGCGCTGGGTTACAAGCAAGAGTTCAAGCGCGAGTTCTCACTATGGACGACTTTCTGTGTCAGCTTTGCTGTTCTAGGGTTGCTACCGTCGTTTGCGAGTACCCTGTATTATGGTGAGTAATCACACATCTGTGTTTGTCAGATTGAGAATAAGATCTAGCTGACATTGATTGGATTAAAGGAATGGGATATGCCGGAACAGCGGGTATGGTCTGGGGCTGGATCATTGCCATGATATTCATCCAGTGCATTGCAATGTCGATGGCAGAGCTATGTTCAGCAATGCCGACTAGGTATGACACGCTGCGTGATATCGCATCCCAGAAGTTAGGGTTCGGGGAATGTTAACGTATTATACAGCGGCGGACTATACTACGCCGCAGCAGTCCTCGCACCTCCGGGTTACGGACCCTTCGCCGCCTGGATCACCGGCTGGTCCAACTGGATCGGACAGATAACTGCAGCGCCATCAGTTAACTACTCGCTCAGCGCAATGATCCTCGCAGCAGTCTCAATCCAAAACCCAGACTACACCCCGACACTATGGCACACCTTCCTGCTGACAACCCTCATCATGATCCTACACGCTGGAATCAGCAGCATGTCCACGAAGCATGTAGCGCAGTTCAACTCATGGGGTTCGACATTCAACTTCATCGCGCTGGTCGCAGTCATCATCATGATCCCCACCAACACAACAAACAGCCCGAAATTCACTCCCTCTAAACAAGTCTGGGGCGACATAACAAACCTAACCGACTTCCCCGACGGCGTCGCCGTGCTCATGACCTTTGTAGGCGTGATCTGGACGATGTCCGGCTACGACTCGCCGTTCCATTTGAGCGAGGAGTGCTCGAACGCGAGCATCGCCTCACCGCGCGCAATTGTGCTCACCTCCGGCGTGGGCGGGCTGATGGGCTGGTTCCTACAGCTGGTTGTTGCCTACACGGTGCTGGATATCGAGGCCGTTATCGATTCCGATCTGGGACAGCCTTGGGCGTCGTATTTGTTGCAGGTCATGCCGCAGAAAACGGCTATCGCTATCTTGGCTTTGACGATTGTCTGCGGGTTTTCTATGGGTCAGGGGTGTATGGTTGCTGCGTCACGGGTTACGTATGCATATGCTCGTGACGACTGCTTTCCGTTCTCGAATTACTGGAAGCGGGTGCATCCGTCCACGCAGACACCGGTTAATGCGGTTATACTGAATGCCATCCTTGGCATCTTGATGTGTCTTCTTATTCTGGCTGGAGAAGTGGCAATCGGTGCTTTGTTCTCTATTGGCGCTATTGCGCAGTTCTTTGCTTTTGCTATTCCTATCACTATCCGGGTGTTCTTTGTCGGTAATCGGTTCCGCAAGGGCCCCTGGCATCTGGGTCCCTTTGGTCCGTATATCGGTGCCGTTGGTGTTACGTTTGTGTTTTTGATGGTCCCAATCTTGTGTTTGCCTAGTGTTACTGGTAAGAACTTGACGGCTGAAGACATGAATTGGACTTCCCTTGTTTGGGGTGCACCAATGGTGGCGGTTACGATTTGGTGGTTTGTTGATGCCCATCGCTGGTTCAAAGGTCCTGTGGTCAATGTCGAGCATGCTATTCATGCGATTGAGCAGGAGCCGATCGTTAGTGAGGGCATCGAGCCTGAGCTTCGAGAGACCGAGGCAACTGCTTTGTCGCGCAAGGCGGATGATCCAGACAATCCTATCTAGGTTTCTGAGTTTGTGCAGAAGTCGTTATATCAGTTTGGATTTAAGATTTGATATTCATGTTGGTACTATATAACTTAATATTATACAACAGGTCGTAGCCACCTCTTGGAGGCCTGTCGCACGTCATTACATTTACGAAGTCTTTTTGGTCTTGTTTCAATCTTCTAGGAGCAGATGGAGACCATCAACCAAAGAGCTTTACGCCTCTCGGTCCAATGTATGCAAGATAGAAATATCTTCATCTTCCCCAGAGACTTTTATCTGGAAGTAGTAGTGATGGCAGATGAATCCACTGACAAAAATGTAAACATTCGCCACCTGCATGTCAGAAAGCACGGTATAGATCTGGCTCCATAAATATGGATCGATCTGACAGAGTCATATGGAGCCTGACCCAGTGCCCCTCCTGGTTAGATTTAGGTTGTGACGGGCGTGTGGTCCTTGATGATGGAGCAAATGGAGCAAATCCACTACTCCACCAGTCCCATATGGCCGAGATAAGGTTGACTGTATGAGATCTGTATGACATTCTGTGGACGGAAATAGGTTCATATTTTCTATTTATGTATTCTATCGGAGGGGGTGAAGAGCAATTGATACTCTTGCATATATACGACCTCGGGAATCAATTAGGGTTAGGCAAAATGGATATAGAGCACGCCATATTCCACCGTAAATGATATTATGGTATTCAAAGAAAAAGCCAGAGCTTAATATGCAAGAAATATACACTGCAGAACAACCATGTAGATTGCTGATCGTCTCTTGATTGCACTTTGTACACGGTACCTCCCACGCGAAGGAAGAATCTACACCACTTGACCTCTAAGAAAGCAGCAAACCGACCAACCAATTCATAGACCCTAAGAACAAGTCCAGACACGAAGCCAGCTATTCAAAACCCAATTCATTCCCCAAAGTACCGAAACCGAGCAACCGCTTCCCGCCCACGGCTAAGTACCTTGTACAACATGTTTTGCGCTGGGATCCCCGGGAAGAATCCTGTAAGCTCCACCACCCACCCCTGAGACCCCACCGGCGGTGGTGGACACTGAACATGGATGCAACGGAGAAAAACAAAAAATGGGTTGGAACAGAGATATGCTTAATCTGACTCCAGATGGGGGGCAAACCCACCCTAACACGAGGAGCCATCTAGCAATAAGGCCCACTTGTATACTACCATTTCATTGCAAGATAGATCCCTATATAAATATCTATAGTGCGCAATAGGTCATATTTTAACGTTGGAGTCTCGAAAGTCAAAACCCTCTCTGATCGAGAAAAGCCAAAAGCGCCAACCGCAAGAACAAGAATGCGAACAAAAAACGTGTGGTACAGCCGTACAGCCCCTCTCTCCCGGGCTGATTGCAGTCTCGATCGTCACTGTCAGGGGTAGAACAGAGATCGGCAAGTCTACGTCATGTATCTTGAAGCTTTGAAAGGATCTGAGTTCCATGGATGTTCTTGAGGTTCCTGGATTTGAGTGGACCGTTAGAAGTTTCCAAGGTTCTCTTTTTTGGTTTCACAGATTTTGTACCTTGGATTAGAAGGAAAAAAAAAAAACCTTGAAGAGTTGCCAAGTGGCTGTTTTTGGGTCGGGGGTGAGCCGAGTCTGTATTGTACGTTACACAAATTTACGCCCTTTTGCCTTTTTCCCACTGCGAACTGGTATATTTGCATTACTTCGGCCCGGGCTACATTTTAGGCGCAATTTATGCAAGTTCTAATATGGTTTGTTCAAGCATTCCCCAAGGTTACACTGCAAACAGAAAATCCAAGGCTCACATATGAAATAACCTTTTCGTATTTCAAAATATGGTAGCGAGGTGAGATATTAATAGGCGAATCATATATGTATAGCCATTCTATCGAATTATATCCGAAACCCGTGACGCGGCCAGGGGAGAAATTCCCTCGGTACGAATTACTTCCCCTATGGTTCAATGATATGGAACATGGAAGAATAGAAATCTGACCCCATCCCCATGTACATGGATACCCACAGAACACATGGGAAAATGGAGAAAGATGGAGAGATATATGGAATGGGACTGTAACCACTATTTTGACATTTAACTCAAAAGTCAATTTCAAAGTTAACCTCTCTTTTTGCAATACCTCAATACCGATTAAAAATGAAATGCAAGTCAGATCCCCCCCCGAGGACCTTCCGAAAAAAAAAAAGCGCTACTCCCATCTGGGCACCGACTACAGGCATCGACAGCCTATGAGGTCGGTGGCGGCACGATCCTCTCGTCCGCTGGAGCAGATGGTGGCTCCTGATTGGATGAATGTATTCCTGAAACTCGGCGATCCGGACTTGGCTTCAGCGGTGTTTTCCGGCCTATGCCGGGAATAAGGCCTTTTTGTTGTGTATCGGATGTTGACGATCGGATATAGGGCGCTTTCGGGTGTGCGTTGTAAAGATCGTGTAGACCACGTCGACCATGTCGTTTTTAGTTTCTCTAATATTTTCTGTTAAAGAGTGGCTCTTGTTTTTACCTTCAACGTAGGTTACAATATATCACCACGTGATATCCTATTCGGCAGCGATGGGGACTGGGGCGGGATCTACATCTCGCGCGCGCTATTCTCTCCTATCCCGGTTGATACTCCCAACACCTTAAGCATCCGGACAATTTAGCCCCCCAGTTCCGTAGTGGGTTTTATATATTCGAATAGGTTCAGGAAAAAAAGAAGTGGCGATCTTAGGCTCGTTTGTATAGAACTAGTCTAACACTAACAAAATAGGTAATTATTAGTAACAAATATGCATTGACAACCCCCTGATATTCCAAAAATTAAAGACTCGGGAAAAGCCTCACCGTACTTTGCGAACCGGTACGGGGACTGGGTAGTGGAGTCCGTGAACTCCCGGCATTGATGCCGAGTGTATTTTGCAAAGCCACCTGCCACTTCAATACACCGCGTTTAATATTTCTCAAGCCACCAACTAATTTCTGTCCCGAATCCTTTTAGGCAGGATAAAGAGACAAAAATCTAATTAGATATATGCCTCCAATCCTACATTGTACACGATATTTCGTACATTGAATATACGTGTACACTCCGTACACATACCGAGGTGAAACAAAGTGGAAGGTCAAGCGAACTTCCTTTTACGTCGTAGCTTGGAATCATTCTCGCCCCTTGGCGGAATCTGATTATAATATATATTAAAAGTATAAATATCTCAATGCATTATAGCGTACGAATTTCAGATCAGGTGGTCAGTCCAATATTTCTGCAGAACCCTGGTCGAAGCCTTCCAGGTCCACAATCGAAGCGGGAGAAGCTCTTGCGAAGAGGTGGAGAAGGAGGGGCAGGGATGTTGGGTCCGGAATACAGATCATCTCCGGCAAATATACAAACATGATTTGATAAAGTTTTATCTAGATGTTGAGGATATCCCGTTGTGATAAACGTAGTCAGGACTCGAATGGCGCGCAGGATCTGAAACTTTAGTCGTGTTACTCGGTCGAGATGTTCGGCTTAATAATAGAAATATGAAATGTCAAAGTACGCTAACCTCCTGGATTGTACCTATGTCAGGCCACGGAAGTAGCCATGTCCAATAGGGGGAACCCCCTGAATGCCAATTTTGTCTAGATCATTCCTGTGTGGCTGAACCTAGGAGAAACACTCCTCTATTTTCCCTATATTGGAGCACCTAGGCAGCAATAGTATTAGTGTCCCAGTGAGACAATTAAACTTATACCATCAAGAGACCAATACGCTTAGTTTTCTTTTTATGGTATAGTTCGGGTCATGTTTCATTTCGAGTCAGCCCGTGAAGCTAAGTGCGGAAACCCATTGCGGAACAACAAGCGGCTACGGCGCATCCACTAAATAGGGCAACACTGCATGGCCGTTGCAGCAAACCGGTCGGACATCCCCCAGTCTTCCCTAAAGAGGGCCTAAGAACGCATGCCCCCTCTTCTGGAGACGTGCCATGTACATCCGGCCTGCATGCAGGGAGCCAACTCTAGGCTGCAGGCCGAGGGATGCATGATGAGGTCTTCTATCACCGAGCTCAATGAAGCTCATCTTCCCGGCCCCCCGGCACTCCCCCAGATGACGTGCTTGAAGAGATCAGTGCCTCGGTGTAAAGTGGGAGTCTTAAGTGGACTGAGATCTTATCTATCTACATACTTGAAAGATAGTATCTTATAGTACGGAGTAAATTCAAAGGGACTTTACGGAGTGGTCGAGGAATAGTGTGAATACATATCAGATCTCATCTCCATGTCAGCTGCGGGGCCTGTCAGCCACTGCGGAGCCCAAAACAAAGAAGAGCCAGGGTCACTCATAATCCACCCTCGGGGAGATGGCTCCATCTTCAATTATAAGATCTACTTTCACATCAGATATACAACGACATAGTTGGATAGTTTCAGTAGTCAGGCCCAATGGCAGTTTAGTAAAGAGACTGCGGAGGCCAAGAAATAGACTCTACAGCATGTGGTGAGCCTTAATGTTTTGGTACATTCTATAGAGTACATGATATATCCCGGGGGATAATCAGATTGCATATGATATGAATATATGGAGGACATCATATATTTGACTATGGTTTCGGGGCTTTATTAACATCCGTCCACGGATATACCTTGGAAGTGCGTCATCATGTCCGGACGCGTAGGGAGATTAAAAATTGAGATTTGACGATGTGTCCGTGTCTACTCCGTATGTGTCTATTTGATTATGTTCTCCTTTTTTCCTTATATTTCTTTCTATTCTTTCTATTCCTTGTAAATCTAAATCTAAATCTGATAATATCAATAAATCATAAATCCAATAATCCCAAATCCCAATACGTCTACACTACCGCTATCGGCCATAGTTCGGAAGACGGCCGTGTAAAATTTGTAATTTTAAATTGAAAATACTGTAATTACATGTATTTTTTCACTCTTTTTTTTTTTTCTTCTCTCGCCTCTTGCCTCCCCGAGGAACGATCGTCTTTTTTCGTCTTTTCTCGTCTTTTCTGTCTTTTTTCTGTCTTTTTTTTTATTTCGACCCGGTCTTCCTTAGAATTTTCCTTTTCGTCTTTACCAAGAAACTCGTCCCCCATTTTCTTCTTCTTCCCCCAATTTCCCCCAATTCTTCAATTCAATTCTCCTGCATCAATTTCTTCATTTCCATTTGAAATATTTCCTTTCTATCGGCTATTTCAAGAGTCAATTCCTCGATCTTAAGGATTACCTTGACGCGAAGCAGATCTCGGACTAGTTGTTTTTGCTGCGAGAGACCCACTTGCACGCCCGCTTCTTCGGTGGATACAGAACCATCGACGGTGACAACGTGCGGATAAATCACCATCCTATTTTTTTCTTCTGGTGGGTGACCGTGGGGAATCTTCTTCAATTAAGCATCTCTTTTCTTCCTCTTCTCTCTTCGTGTGGAGTCAACTCGTGTGAACCCGTGAACCCCCGTGAGACCCTGTGACCGTTTGCCTCTCTCTTTCTGTTCGCAGGAAAATTTTCAAACAAGGAGCTTCCTTTGCTTCAAAGAAAAAAAATTTATCCAGAGTGCAGGTTTGATGATTGAGTTACCGTGAACAACTTATTTCTTTTTCCTACACAATCTTTCCTCTGTCTACGATGGATCCCAGATCTCACCCTTCCCGTCCTCCATCCACCAGCCTGCCTCCAGGCTCCACGCCCATGTCTTCGACTCCCATCTCGAGCATGCACATGCCACAATACTCGATGCAGCCGCAGTATCCGGTTTCGCAGCCGCATACTCTGCCTCCTTTGCAGCCTCACCACCCTCAGTCGCCCGCGCCTCACCATTACATGGGACAGCCTTACCGTCCGGATTTGTCGCGGTACCCTCCGTCAACTCACGATGTCTACGGGGGTTCCCAGGCCCCTATGATGCCGCACACGACTGTCGGTAGCCTTCCGCCATCGTCTCTGTTGAACCTTCCTAACCCTCAAACACAGGCGCATCAGCAGTACCCCCCACCTCCGAGTGTGCTTCCGCCCGCATCCACCGCTCAGAGCTACCCTCAGCCGATTGCTCCGGCACCCCCACGCGACCGTCGTCCGGATTTCAATGGTCTTCCCTCCGGTGCCTTTAGTTACTCCGATGGCAAGGGTTGGGGTATGACTCCTGATGTGAATGGCGCGAATGGCTCTCCCTACGCCAAGGAACCTCCACGGACGCAGGTCGTGGGCTCTCAGGGCCGCCGTGGCATCTTGCCCAGTGTCCCGGGCCGCGCGACCCCGGTTTCCAACGGTGTCAATGGTACAGCTAAGAGCACGACTATTCCCGCTAAGGATGCGGATGGCAAATTCCCCTGCCCGCACTGTAACAAGACTTACCTCCACGCCAAGCACCTCAAGCGCCATCTGTTGAGACGTGAGTTTTTTTGGATGCCAGATTGAAGGAAAAAAGATAATTTCCCCAAAATGATCGAGATTTGCTAACAGACCTATTTTTTTCTGATTCGTATAGACACCGGTGACCGCCCCTACATGTGTGTTCTTTGCAAGGACACTTTCTCCCGCAGTGATATTTTGAAGCGTCACTTCCAAAAGTGCTCAATCCGTCGGGGTAACCCGACCGGTGCGACTCACTTGTCCCACCCTCAGGCCCATCTGAAGCGGTCTCAGCAGCAAGCAGCTGCGGCTGCCGCGGCTAACCCCCCCAAGCCGCTCCAGGATGAAGTCAGTAATCCCGTCCCCCACTCCAATGGCGTTATGGGTGCGCAATTCGATGGGGCCGTGAATGGCAATGGCATGGCTACAGGCCGTCCTGCCTACACGGATCAGCAGCCGCTAGGCTTCACGATGCAGTCTGTCAACGGCATGAACCGTGGTCCCGGTGACGACGCGTTCTCCGCTGGCCAGGCGCACGCGCGAGCCTCGTGGATGGCTGGACCCAAGCAGAATCAGTATCTCATGCAGCCTGGTGTCGATGCCCATGGCCAGCAGCTGACGGTTGATCGTCCCCTTGAACAGGTAAAGCCCCCGGTCTATCATGACCACAAACCGGTCATGCCCGGTCCCCATTCACATCACCCGGGTGTTGACTGGAATTCGATGTTTCAGCACGGTTCTTCCGACGGTTACATTAACCCCGTTTTCCCCCACTCCATGGCCGCGGGCCAGGAGCCGATCCACGCTCCCGTCGACCACGACCGCAAGTTCTACCCCGCCTCGACCGGTCCTGAGAGCGGTATGAACGGACTGTACCTTGCTTCGACTACGCTGAGCGGAGACGGTTAGTTCTTACCTTTTCTACTTTGATTATGACACTTATTCTGACAATAATATGCAGGTACCGTGCAGCCCGCGAGACAGTAGACGGTGAATTCGATCAGAAAGCAAGATGATGACTACGAGGCATGAGATTGAAAAAGCGTTTCGACGAAACAAGAAACCAAGGGTTTCTGCTTCTTCACGCCGTGGGTAGGACTATTGCTCTCCACCCTCTCAGCTGTTGTTTCTAGGCCTTCATCCCTGGCTTCTCTGCTGGTGCAAATCCACTGGTCACGATGTCTCAGCAAACCCGTTTACGATAGTCCTTTTGGTTCGTTCGCTTCCGGCTTTCAGCTTGCGGTGTTTCGTACTCCTAGCGTCCCCGTTCCGGTCTTGTTTTAGTATCGTTGGTCCTCGATCTATCTTTTTCTTTTATTCTGATCCCATCCGGTGTGGGTGTGCATTCTTACATAAGTGGTTTGCGAGTCTGGTTATCTTTTATCTTGAACCCCCGATGAGAGGGGCAGATGGTATGGTGGGTGGTTTGTTCGGCGTCCACAACATAGACATGGGCATGTGTTCATCTTTTGCGCGAGTGTTCGACATCAGAAAGAAGAAAAGCTTTTTTTTATATATTATCTTTTATGGGATGGTTGTTGTCGAATTACCATGTTTCTTTCATTCTTGCAGTCCATTTGTGCTTTTACCTTTGTTTTTCTGCATCGCATGGCCTCTTTTCTCGTGTAAAGTCGGCATGGCAGGACATATGTGTGCTCCGGGAATTTCTTTTAAGGTGTTTTGGGGTTAAAAAAGCAGTTAGAAATAGACTTGAGATCCATTTGACCTGCGCAATTCAATTAGTATCATCTGATCTATACACAGCGGAGTAGCGGAGTAGCAGAGAAATGGAGAAAATGGATACCCGGAAACTTCCTAAGTAACGTCATGGCCATAATCGAGCGCCCGTGATTGGAGCGCCTACGGGATCGGGATCTTTCGAAACACTCCTCTGTTCTACATGTTCTACATGTTCTACACATATTCACTTCTCTATACAGTCTATACAGATCTGTCCCACCATGTCCAGCAACCGACCATTCCTCGCCAACTTCCTGGCCGCCTTCCGCGCCCAGTCAACCTATAAACCCACCCAGCAAGTCGGCACAACCTCAACCATCTCCTCCGCCCAAATCTCCCAGAGTGCCCGCGCCATCGCCACAAAAGCAGCAAACACAGCCCAAGGCTCCTCAGCACCATCATCCGCTTCCGCACCTCACCACACTCACCATCACAACCACCACACCCACACATCCTCTACCAACTCCTCGGCAACAACTACAGCACCAGCCGGTCCAGTCCAAGGCCCAAGTCCAGCCCCTGCACACCATTACCACCACGACCAACCATCCGTCCCCTCCACACCACCATCATCCACTTCAACACCTATCCCGATCAACCGTGGCCCTGCAGACCGCCAGCGCCGCGGGAGTGACTCATCCAGCGGCTCGGGTGGATTCCGCGATGCTATAGGTCCGGAGAAGTGGTATATTGGTGGGAGGACGCCGGCTGGTGAAGAGCGCTTTTATCGGCTCGGGATGGTTACGAAGGGTGGGGGGCGGCTTGGCGGGAGTGGGCGGGTGGGGAGTATTGATCAGTTGAGTCTTTGAGGCATAAGATGTGGGGGGGATGGAGTCTCGGGAGGGTTTTTATATGGGGGTTGGTGTTGGTTGTGTTCTGGGTGGGCTCTGACTTGGATGTCCGTGGCTATCATCCTGGGACGGCAATCGGATGCTTGATCGGATTGTTCTGCTTCATTACGAGGTTTATTCGTGTTTATTCTTTTGGCCTTTTCTCGCCCGCGCGTTTTTGGTTTGTTATATGGTGCGGCATTACTGGGTTCTCTGATATCTGTCTAGGTCTGGAATATGGATTTGGCGGAAGATATCGGGTTCCAAATGGGAATCTTGGTTTCTTGCTGGTGATTTTGCTGGTACAAAAGAACCCCAAAAAAAGATATACATCTTACACTATTCTACATGAGTTATGATTTGCGTGGGGACGAGTGGTTTGTTTAGTCTATCTTTTGGCTTTTCCCTCTCCTCTCTTTTCGTTCTACATTCTTCGACACTTCAAAAACATTTTTTGATACCACTCAATATTACTCAAATATTGTTGGGATATTTTCCTGCATATGCACGGATAAAGTATTAGGTTAAATTTCGTACCTGACTGTCAAGTAAAAGATGAGATTCTGCAACCCCCTCACACCACCTGCTGCGTAACACAATGCAGCACACCCCCAGTCCTGGGCAAGGCATTAACCTCAACTTGACGAACCTCCCTATCAGGAACCAGACTCTTGAACAACTCAAAAGCCTTCGCATCAGCCTCAGCATCCCCAAATGCCGGCATAACCAGGCCCCCGTTAACGAAATAAAAGTTAACGTACGAAACCGCCGGCGCTTCCTCCTCCCCAGCAAGATCCCCCTTAGCGCAGCTCGGATCCGGCTCAACAACATCATGAACCTCGAAGCGCCGTCCATGTGCATCAGTAGATTTCTCCAAGACCTCCCGAATCTCTGAATAGACCTCCCAATGCACCTTCTCCGCCTTCTCATGCGGACGACAGACAACAACAACCCCAGGCCTCACAAACCTCGCCTCAGCATCAACATGCACATCCGTAACATCCAGCCCAACCCGACCAGGAAACCAGATAAAAGTATTAACACCTAGCAACCGGCCAAGCTCAGCCTCGATTTCCGCCTTCCCGAGTCCAGGATTCCGCGCATCCCCAATAATACTACTCTCCGTCGCCATAAACGTCCCCTCACCGTCGACTTCAATTCCGCCGCCCTCAAGCCTGAGATCCGTCTGCACGCGCATAACAACATCCATCACAGCATCCGCATTCACATTCTCAAGATCCAGAACGGTACTCGCAAAAGCCGTGTTCTCGCGCATGGCCTCGTCATCCATGACCGGCCACTCCGCGTACTGCGGGGAATTCTCCAGCGCCTTTGCGGCTGCAGACGAGACACCGGCGCCGTAGATACGTTCTGTTGTTTTGTAGCCCCATTCGCAGAAGCGGAAGTCGATTGCGTAGCGGGTTTTATCTGCTGCATCCGCGCTGCGGACGTAGACGGGGCCTGTGTCACGGATCCAGCAGTGGTTTGTTGGGGCTGGGATGATGCTTATGTTGGCGCGGTGCTGGGGTGGGAGGTTGGTTTGTTTGTCAAGGAGGGCTTGGGCTTGTGGGATGTCTTCTGGTCTGGTGTGGAGGCGGACGGGCTCGAAGGGTGCGATTGCTGCTGCGAGGGAGATTATCTCGTTGCTTGTTTTGGTGTGGAGTTCCGGTAGGGTGGAGCGGCGCGAGGGGAAGCTTAGGAGGGTTGCTAGGTGGGGGCTTGTTTCTGCTGGGCAGATGTATCGCTTTGTTTTGTCTGGTTGGTGCGCGAGGGCATGGTGCTGGATGTGCCAGGTTTTGTTGGTTGCGGGCATGGTTGTTGTTGGGTAGGTTGGTTGGAATAAGGGATTTGGATTAGTAGTTGACTGGTATGTGAGCTCGGGCTCTGAAGATCTGGATGGGTTAGATCCCATGTGTGTGGTACATGATGTGATGTTGATAGAGTGATATACTAACAGTGATAGATGCAAGTCTTGGGCTTTGGATAAAGTGAAGTGGCATGCGAAAGAATGTTCAGGACAGGTTGGGGTATTTATGCTGAATGTGAGATCCCAATGTGGTCAATATAAAGAGAGAAGAGAGAGATGTCAAATATGAGCCTAAACAGGTTGGACCATGAAGTCCGTATTGGGATAGTCCAGGCGATAACCTTAACATCATAGTGGAGCCTTTTATATGGGTCTAACCCTTTTTGAACCTTTCTATAGTTAGAGGATTAGAGGATTTTATCAAATGCTAGAAGTGATGCTAGCACTGTATAGATTGCACCCGTTCTATAAATCTATGAAATCACATGTCTCGGCTCTCAAGCTACTAGTAGAATTCACCGAGGGACTGTGTGTTGGCGACTTTAGGCCCCCATGGGGTTAGGACCATGTAGCCAGTTGGATCTCTTCCTTCTCTTGCTTTCTTTCCCTGATCTACTCCGATCCATAGTGAATACACTCGATCTCTCCATATCTCATTGTGTACACTCCCTGTACTCTGTTTTCTTGTTTTCCTGGCCTTGATAAATCGAGAAATCCAAACGATAGTAATCAAAGATCGCAGTTCCCTAGATTCATCCATTGAAGTATAATTAAAGATTGAAATACAAAATATGCGAAAGATTTCCGGTATATAATTATATCACAGATAGCAGCGCCTTATAAAAGCCGCTAATGTAGCCCTGGAGGGAATCCAGGTACAACGTATAGTTCCGAGGTGACCTACATGATATCATGTATGATGTAGGGCAATAGGCAGAACTGATACTTGCCTTCACCAGAAAAAAGTGCTGCCTAGCTGCGTAACCCGCATTTAACTCATTAAAGCCCTTTCCTCCTCACTTTCTCCCAACCACAACATCGGAAGTGCAGTAAGCGCTACCAAGACCCCCAAAGTGCCCGTCATCGCGCCCCACCCAAAACGATACTCGACAAACCCACCCCAAAGCGGTCCAAAGAATACTCCTGCAAATTGACACATGCTCTGCAATCCGAATCCTTGCGCCACAGCGCCTTTGGGCCCAAGTATTCCTGGGTCCTTGAGTTCCATCACCATGAGCGCCCGCTGCGTCTCAACGTACATGGCTGGCGCGCAGGCATGGAGGAATATTCCGGTAAGGAAGAGCAATGATACCAACAGAGCTATCTGCTCGTTCGACTTTGTCTGGACGAACCGGAGACATATGAGGGTAGGTGAGAGGGAAAGGAAACAGCCAAAGGCTACGAAGCGGGCACCGAACCTGTCGGTGAAGCTGCCAAACAACGGCTCGAAGAAAGCCGGGACGGCCATTGGGAGGAATATTAGCCCCATACCGAGGGCAGTCCAGCTAAAGGTCGTTTCGACAAATATGGGAAGGGTCTTGATATGATTAGCTAGTGTGCTTCATGTTAAGACATCGAGGCTGGTACATACCGCATCAAAAGCAGAAAGCAAGATTCCCTGGGCGAGAAGCGCCCACGAAGAGATCAATACTCGGCGCTGCTTGAGCATTCGGAAGATAACGAACCCCTTCCTTCTCTGTGGTTCGCGAGAACCGACAGATGGAATACGCTGCGCAGTATCCAGATCCGACTCCAAGTCTCCATTCGATTCTCCAATCCATTGAACAGCGACCTTCTTCTCGATCAAAATGAGACGCATAACCATATCAAGCGCAATAATAGGATACGCAAACCAGAACACGGCATCGTACCCGCCGGAATTATACACAACGCCTCCGAGGAACGGACCCAGCAAAAAGCCCGATGCAATTGCGGAGCCGAGATAACCTATCGTTTGACCGAGACGATCCTGGGACACGGCATCGCCGATGAGAGCGAATGCTGATACCACTACTAAAGCGGCTGCGATGCCTTGGAGTACACGAGCCGCGACAAACGCAGCGGTGGAATGCGCCAGCTGCAAGACCAGCATGCAGACGGCTAATACGACCAGCGCACCGATGAAGGGTAGTCGACGTGTGCGTCCGCGGTCGACCAGGTAGCCGAATATGGGACACATCAGCAGAGCCGTGCCTGCTTCTGACATGAGAAGGACGCTGACCCAATATTCTCCTGTTTAAAGGTAAGTATGCGAGAATTTGGAAGGAAAGCTGTTAGCGAGGACAGGAACAAGACATACGGTGCTCAAATTCGACTCCAGCTCGGGTCATGAGGGCTGTCGGCATCACGGGAACTATCTGTGGTTCGTTGATTCTGTATCCAATTCACATTATAGAAGTGGGCTTTGCTTACCATGGCATATAGGAGGAATTCCTTATTCCAATTGAGTCTTTGTCAGTTAGGGACTTATGATACTAGCCAACTAGGCTCTCACATACCGTGAAGGTAGACATCCAAACTGCAGCAATGATAAAACTTGTCGAGGAACGACATTTCAACAGCCAGGGGGCACGCTTTCCCCCTGGCTTTCTCTTGAGGTTTGATAGATTACCTATAGTCATGATTGCCTCGGGGGAAAAACGAGCGCTTGTCTGTGAGATGGAACAAAGAAGTTCCTCGGTAATCCGAATCACTATGGATTTTCAAATAACCCGAAAGCAGTCAAAAGCTAAGAGTCAAGCAGAACCGGAAATTAGTCGCTAAATACCAGGCATAATTGGCAAGTGAAGACTCTTTGGTGAACAAAGAAGAAGCAAGAAGCCCGTCAGCCCAGCCTTGGCCGAGAATCGGAGAGAGCTTGCCTGGCTTTTACTCATCGACGCCTCATCCAATCGCGGGATATAATGTTGATTGATAGGGCTTGGAAATGTGCACTGCATGCAAGATTCGTCAGATCGACGTTGCAGACATACACCACCAACCACACCCTCCGATTCGAGGATTGTAATCTAAGCTGGAGATTGGGTGAGCTTGGCCTTTTTTTCTATGATGCACTTCGTGGATTATTTATTCAGCCAAAAAAAAGAATTCAGCTATCTGGATCTGACATACACATTACATACTAGCGTTCTGAGGCATGGGTCTTGGGATTGTTTCTGCAATTTGGAAGTGTATTTGGGGGTCTGGTAGGTATGAAAGAGACTGCCACACAGTTAAATATCTTGGTCATTCCCTGCCCATAGACGAAACTTTGCTTTGGTCGCCGGAGCAGCTTCGTCGGCAGGTGGCTGAACACATGATGGGTCTCGGGTAATATTGTCACTCATATGGAGGCAAATTAACTCCATAATGGCAATGGTTGTTCACCGCTAGATTAGTCAGTGTGTTTGACGTTTGCACATGCTGTGACAGGATGTGTAGGGCAGGCATCTTCCTATTGGGATATGTAGGTACTTCGTACTCTCCTGTGCTTGGTGGGTATTGAGGCTCTTCCACTACCGAGTTTCGGTGAAGATACCAGGCTTATTTCCGGATGTTCTTAAACTGGAACAAGCACTTTGATGGCGTTTGTGTTGCTTGTTGTAGGTTGTCCGGGATGGTTTAGTGCACCGCGTAGGTCTCATAGATACCCGCATGAGCAACCTGGTATACACGGAGGATATTTATGCAATATATATCGGACCATAGACGCAGAACAGTTTTAACCCCGAAGTACTCCCAGTGTAGAAAGTACACAAATGAACAAGGGAGAACATGAATAAGTCATGATCTCTCGTCATCAAGACGAGTCAACGTACAGACGGTGACATTTTTCGCCCCGCCCTGTACCACCAGCCGTGAGATCACTGCGCGAGCATATTCTGGCTGTCAGCAAAGAGTCATGTCAGCGCTGAGTGTCTATCGCCAGGACTTCCACGCCTTTCACGGCTCGCAGCTCGCCGGGATCCGGGCTGACATACGTCCGGGGATCTCCAGCGATTCCACGAGTCGTAGTACAAATTGTAAGGGATTTGAGATATAATAATCTAGGGGTCTGCAGTTGACGTTTGCAGAACTCGGAGGTCGGAATTTCGGGATTCGTAGAATGTGAGTTCTCCATTATGCAGGCTAAGGTCTGGGGAAAAAGGAATTCCCCTTCTGTATGATACGCTAAAACAATGCTGTCTTGGAAGTATCATGCCATACATTGGAGAGGCCTAGACAGAGAAGGAAAATAAGCTGTCTAATCGCCAACTGATAAGATCGGGATTTGGAGGGAGACCGGCCACTAGCGACCATCGCGGCCATCGGAGGTGCCCGATACTCTCTTGATCAGCCAATTTGGTTCAGAATAAATAAGATTGGATCTGCTGTATTCGGTTATTTGCCCTTCATTCTTCTCTATTCCATCTTTTATATTATTACAATTCAAGATGAGCGCATTAGCAGCTGCCCGCTACGGCAAGGACAATGTCCGCGTGTGCAAGGTGCACCGGGATGAGAAGACTGGTATCCAGACTGTCGTGGAAATGACCGTCTGTGTCCTGCTGGAGGGCGACATTGAGACCTCGTAAGTCTAAGAGTCTAGCGGCATGTCTTGTCTTTTTTTTAAAAAAAAAAAGGTTGAAGCTAACCCCAAGCTCTCCACAGTTATACCAAAGCCGACAACAGCGTCGTTGTCGCAACCGACTCGATCAAGAACACCATCTTCATCACAGCCAAGCAGAACCCTGTAAACCCACCGGAGCTGTTCGGCGCAATTCTGGGCACACACTTCATCGAGAAGTACAGCCACATCCACGCGGCGCACGTCAATATCGTGACCCACCGCTGGGTGCGCATGGACGTCGACGGCAAGCCTCACCCGCACTCCTTCATCCAGCCGGGCTCCGAGACCCGCGACGTGCAAGTTGATGTCGTTGAGGGCAAGGGTATCGATATCAACTCTTCCATCAACGGCCTGACTGTGTTGAAGAGCACTGGTTCCCAGTTCTGGGGTTTCGTCCGCGACGAGTACACCACCCTTAAGGAGACCTGGGACCGTCTCCTTAGCACCGATGTCACAGCAAAGTGGCAGTGGCGCCGCTTTACTGGTCTCGCCGAGGTCAAGGCCCACTTTGAGAAGTTCAATGCTGCTTGGGAGGCGGCCCGCGCTATTACGCTCAAGACCTTTGCTGAGGATAACAGTGCCTCGGTCCAGGCGACGATGTACAAGATGGGAGAGCAGATTCTTGCTGCTGTGCCTCTACTGGATACCGTCGAGTATGCTTTGCCTAATAAGCACTTCTTCGAAGTTGGTATGTCTGACCCTTTCCCTTGCGAAGCTTGGAGTTATGCTAATCTCTGCGGTTTTAGATCTCAGCTGGCACAAGGGTATCAAGAACACTGGCAAGGATGCCGAGGTGTACGCCCCTCAGTCCAACCCCAATGGTCTTATCAAGTGCACTATTGGTCGCGCTGGCCAAAAGGCTAAGCTGTAAATGCTTTCTAGAGGATTGTCGGCGAGCTCCGACATGGGCGCTAGCTTGGTTTTGTTTTTCTTTCTCTTGTACATATATCCATTTCTTATACTTCTGGGAGCAGACTCCCTATATCTCAAATCCAATCCTGCGCACCTCTTCTCATGATACAGCATTGTAGACAAGATAGAAGAGCATTGTATAGAACGTGGTATTGTGATTGTATGTGCTATAAGTACATTTCAAAAGAACCGCAGGCTCGAAAGTCGAAAAGTCCGAGGCCAAGTCAACAGAGTAGATAATCAAAAGCAATATCCCAAATGGACTCCACACCCATGCGCTTTTGCGGTTGGATCATAACATCGCAGGAGAATAGAATACAGGCAGACACAGACCCGGTTTAGGTCGGTGTTGTAAAATGACGAAAGAAGGAGATATAAAATAGGATGCTTTATGCGCTGGGCTTATCGGCGGCCGCTTTGAATGCTTCCTGCACTTCGGGCAGATTTCCGATCACTGATTGATTGCCGAACTTGACGATATTCTCCTTGTAGGGGTGCGCGACACCCTCGAAAGCTGCACGATATCGGGTTAGACTGTGATCAAAACATGAAAAACATAGATGGGCTGGATGTGAAAGGGTTGTGTCCATGTCGTTCTTCGAAGATGGACCGGTGTATATCTCCATGAAGTAATCAAGTAGCCCATCCAGGGAGCAGGAGTGCAGCAACATAGCACTTACTCTTCAATCGAGCGAGGCGGATATCCTTCAGTCGGTTCTTGGGTAGCATTCCCCTGACAGCGCGGCGCAGGACTTCACCACCACCCCATTTAGCAAACATCTGATCCATCGTCATGGTCTTCAAGCTACCGGGGCGCGTCGTGTGCGTGTAGTACTTCTTCTGGAATCGCTTCTTTCCTGTTGTCTTGAGGTCATGGCATCCCACAACCACCACGTAGTCACCACAATCTGTTGAGGGGTCGTAGATGGGCTTGTTCTTGCCCATCAAGACGAGGGCGATCGACGAGGCGAGGCGGCCCAGGGATCGTTCGTCGGCGCCGGCGTCGACATAGTGCCATGTGCGCGAGTAGGCGAGACGAGTCTAAGCCGTCAATTGTCAGATATGGGTTGCTTGGCTGAATGCAGAGTATGCGCGGTTGGCCCGGAAGGCTCCGCATTGAAGCTGTTTACCTTGCCAACGAGTTGCGACATCTTGTTGATGCGGCGGAGGGTAGTGTAGGTGCCGGGGTGAGGGACAATTAGACAATTAATGAAAGGTAGAGAAGTTGAATTGAGGATACCGGCAACAAAAACAGACCCAGCACTTCAATGTCCGAGATAATGATGATCTCAGCGTTCCCTATATGCTTGTAGCCTCTAACCCGCCCCCGACTGAAGTTCTCCGGGTCATGTGACCAAGCCCTAAGTCTCGTGCTACGCTAGTCCCAAAGTAGAATTAGCGTCGCACACTAAGCGAAACCCGCACGGAAGGGCAAATCACTGTGGTATGTGAATTCAAGTGACTCTTTTTCCATCTCCCTCGACAACACACTCCCTCCCCCACGACAATCCACCATGGCTTCCGTCCCGAGTGTGCAATGCTTCGGCAAGAAGAAGACGGGTAAGCTCACTTTTTTTCGACCGGAGATCCGTATGAATGAACCCGTGAGCTGACATTTAATTTTCAATAGCCACCGCTGTCGCCCACTGCAAGGTATGATGAACGCCTCTACCCCCTCGGTCCCAATACGTTGTTTCGAAATATCTGGAAGGAAAGCAGTCGGAAACGGATTGTGCACGAAATGAAGAACTGGGATTAAATTTTGGAAGGATATACGAAACAACATGTTGCGCGATCATGGGGCTATGTACACATTGAACTGGACAACATGCTGAGACTTTTTACAGCAAGGCAAGGGCCTCGTCAAGGTTAACGGCCAGCCCCTCTCCCTGGTCCAGCCCGAGATCCTCCGTTTCAAGGTACGCACAATACATTCGCTCAACCAGCTCCCGCGCGCCACAGAAGAACGGATTCGCACGAATCGCAAGCGACAATGGCAATGGGAAAACGTCTCCGAAATCGGTTTCTGACAATTCACGCTCGAATTTTTAGGTCTACGAGCCCCTCCTCATCGTCGGCGTTGACAAGTTCGCCGGTGTCGACATCCGTGTCCGCGTTACCGGTGGTGGTCACACCTCGCAGGTGTACGCCATCCGTCAGGCTATCGCCAAGTCCATTGTCGCCTACTACCAGAAGTACGTCGATGAGCACTCCAAGAACCAGCTGAAGCAGGCTCTTGCTCAGTACGACCGCACACTCCTGGTTGCCGACAACCGTCGCGCCGAGCCCAAGAAGTTCGGTGGTCGCGGTGCCCGCTCCCGTTACCAGAAGTCCTACCGTTAAATTTTTCTTTCTCACTTGTTACGCGGCGAAAGGGAAAAGAAAGGTTTACGGCAACGGGGAAATGGAATATGTCTGTCTTCATATGTTTTTTCTATCACGACTTATTTCCATGACTTCTTGGTGGACTGGGGACTTGGGAGGATTCGGGGATGTTTGAGCGGTTTTTGTTCGGTTTAACCGCTCTTGCATGAGAGGACCGGGCTAGAGGAATTTGGGAAAATGACCTCTGGTTGTTGTTCCGGTGCCTTGATGATATGTTTTTCACTGGCGCTGTCCTGCACGGCTGGAAAAAATACCTAGCATAGCCAGGAAAATCTACTCAATGATACTGGGTTTCATCTTGTTCAAATCTTTGTTTTTTTTGGGGTCTTTTGGGTTATTTTAGCTACGGTGTTCTAACATTGGTCTCACTTTTTCCCAGAGTTATGTTCTTCATACGCCAAACTTGGGCAGGTATATGCTCCAAAGGTAAACCGAGGTACTCGCCTCTCATACTGGACCACATCTATGACTCTTAGATCTGCATACTCAAGCTTACCCCGGACATTGTCTATCTGCCACTCAGATCTACCGCCGAACATCAGTCCAATTAGACAACATTTCTATTTCTTGTCATAGCCATATGGTGTCGGCCACAAGACTTCTAACATACAAGAGAAAAACATTGACACTTACAGCCAGTGCCGCGGTGCTCTTTCGAAGTTTCCGGCACCCTACCTCTCCGAGTGCTCCTCTGACCTTTCCAATAACTCTTCCCCACATCTGCTGTCTCAGCGTAACAGCCCAGGACTAGTCATCAGTTAGATATTGTCTTGTAGTATCATTGACACCCTCCGGCATTTAGCTTACCATTTCATCTGAAGTGCATAAGACTCGATCGTCACCAAAGTAGGCGCATTTCAGTCTCTCTTGGCAACCCCTCTCTAGCCATGAAACTCCATTCCTCTTGCATCAGAGCTTCTTTGCTTTCCTCGCTGGGGGTAGCATTTGATAGGAAAGTATGGTATCAGTGCAACTCATCATCTATGAGTTGAGAGGGTGGTCTGTCAATGCGTTCTCACTGCGAGTACTATATGAAACTCAACCGTTAGCAAAGTATAAACACACTGTAACCTCATTCATCTGATCAACCCTCCATGGTTGTGACTTTGAATTCGACTCCTATCAGATATCGCCTTTTCTCTCTCATTGACTGTGCTAATGCATAGTCAGTCAGCACGAAGAATCACTCATGGTTCATCATTTAAGAGTTTCAATGCACAACCACTTGGGATAGTTTTATGCAGAAGATCATGAGGTTCAACCACCACTGAGGCATAGGGAAATGCCAACGTACCTCTCTCGATCAACCCTATGCTGCCGAGACCTTGTCATCTCGTATCATATGTGTTTTTTTTAAATCTCATTCATGGGTATGCCAATCCATAGGCACTCAATTGAACAATTCAACAGTCATCAAATCACGTATGGGTTCGAAGTTCACCACTCGATGTGAGTTTATCTCCAGGACTAAAGGCTCATAATTAGCAATAACAAAAATGTATGGAATGGGACACCTTGCCTGTCTTTGTTTATCTCAACCATCGCTGAAGCATATGCTCGTTCTCATCTTGGATGTCATAATAGACCACTGCAGCCAAGTATAAAAAAATTGTAGAAGTATCTTTTGAGAAATCAATCCCCTGTGTTAAAACCCTTGTGTAGCTCGTATCAGACTCTCTCTCTCTATATATTCTTTTTATTTCAAAGGATCCTACGCCAATGCGTAGTAACTCCTTCAAATGTAGTATCGATATCATCATTTACGGCTTCCAAGGTATGATTAATTTTTGGAATCATCTCAAAACATTAACATTCACAGAAAAGAGAGGAATGGAAAACTTGCCTTTTTTTATTTGTCTCAGCTACCACTGAAGCATAGGCGTGGTGCCATCCAGGTATGAGCCTGGGATAATTACCCTAAAAGGTCAGGGGGAATGCAAAACTTACCTCTCTCCTTTTGTCCCAGCCATTCCTGAAGCATACACATTTTGATCTAAAATGTTATAATAAAGCATAGGAAGTTTTTAAACGTACCTCACTTGACCAAACCTCCGTATTTATGAGCCTCAAGTTTCTCGCATCAGGTATGCCTTCTCTATTGGTTGCATTGCCAAGGCAGGCCACCGAATAAACTCATTTGCGAGTTTTCGGGCTTGTCCATCAATGTGCTTGTAGTCAGTGCATGACCATGTCGAATGGCCTCCGCAAAGAGTCAGGAGCGAGAAGTGCGAAGCCTACCTAGATAATTGGAATGGTCAGCGGCAGAGATCTAACTCAACCACATAGCACGAGCCCGAGGATCAATTGGAAAAACAAGGTCTCTTCTTTGGCTTTATATCAACCTGAATATTGGATTTCAGGACCGTAGAACCGGCAAATGAGAGGCCCGAGTGTTGCAGTGACTCTTGATCGGGGTAATTGGCCTCGCATCAGACTGTTCTTTCCATATATTTCTGTCATCCTCACGAAGTCCACAGTTGCCTGTAGACTAAGGAGTTCAATATTTTGTGTAGCAAAAGATTGTCATCATTTTTGCGGGCTTTAATTGTTCTTGAATGATCAAGGGCTGTATCAAGTCATACCTGGATGGAAAAATCCCAGTCCCCGGCGATACCTTAGAGCAATTGACAGAGAATCTCCAATATCGGCGTGAGGTCAATCGTGTCATGCGTTGAGAATACCGGCATTTTCTCCTTTGGTCCCATATAAGCCAGATAGCTGCATATCAGGACAGGGAGTTGGGATGGAACAGGTAAAATGGAGCTGCCAGTGGTTTGGTCCGAGTCAATCCATCGATTTGTCGCTCCTCGGATGAATTGATGCAGCTCCTCGGGTCACTGAAAGCCGTGGATGTTCAAGTTCTCATTTGCAAACTTGCAAGCCCCCTAAATATTGTTTGGCTGAGTCTGTGGGGTCTTTGTATGAAACCATACTTATGTATGCATAGAAACAAATCAATGGAGACGAGATCCTTTGATATTGAAGTGTGAACTAAAGGATCCAATGTGGCATTGCATCCCAACAACGGACGAGTCAGTCATACAAATCGAGCATCCTTAATTCTTCAACTCGTACCGGTGTTCGATCTCATCTTTAATTTTGTCCATTGACCTTTCGGAAAATCAGGGTCACCTTCAAAGTGTAATCCTCGTCATCTGAGCTTTCAGATGGTCATGCTGCTAGGAATCCATTGTAGTCATGACGAGTCACATCTGAAAGTGAATACGGGATAATCTAGATATACCGGGTGTTAGAAAAATAGAAAACAACGTAGCAAGTCCAGAAGAGCTGCATGATCAGTCAGGAAAATAAGGTATTTTCTTTCACATCAGACGTGCTTCCAATCTATCACTGAGACCATTGGTTCTGACGATCCACGGTTTCTCATAGTGTAGCATCACTGTATTATCATCATCAAATGTGCTTTCTGTGACGCATATTGACTGTGCTTGTGGGGGTTGGAAGGCTCATACCTAAGCGTACAGAACGGAGACCTAGAACATCTCGAAATCGTTAGCAGGAGCTTCCAATACCACAACAGAATAAGGGCAATAATATATGCTTTGTTCCGCATCGTATCAGAGTTCTTTTCAGGATTTTCAAGTTTTCAACGTGTCCAGTGCACTATTGATTGGTAGGTCACAGTCACTTTCAAGATGTAGTATATTCTCATCATAACATGCGATTTTGTGTCCATCGAGCATCCACTGTGCTTGTGGAATGCGAGGGGGCTCATATCGAGGCAGGCTAGAGGGTGAACATATAATCCATACCTAGGTATCTTGAGAGTGTTAGCGAAAACATTCGAACAATTTTCCATAGTACGAATAGTTGGATTCTCAAACCAAATACCTTTTTGTCTTAACTCAGATCAGCTCCATCCGAACCTTGCTTTTATCTCATCGGCCTCTGTAGCTCGAGCGGTCATCATCTGCGAGTTTCAAGCCCTAGATACCAATCGTAATTGCAGGCTTTCAAAGTAGTAATATCGTCATATGTGCGCACGTCGATGGGATGAATGCTATACATATTCCTCAGATATTAGCGGAATCGTTCCAATGATGCAACATAGGTAGTAACAATCATCGTATGATAAAACTGGGAAAGTAGTGTTCTGTTGCCCATCAGATCAATAGCTAATCATCCAATGCTGATGATTAGGAAGTTCCTGTATCATCATTTGCAGGATTCGAGTCATACCCAAGTACAAAGACCTGGTTACCTATATAGATTGGTGGGAGTGTTAGCCAAATTGTTCAGACATCAGATAAAAGACTGTAAGAGATAGTGTTCCTCTATTTGCTTTGGCATCAGATCAATAAATGTTTCGACATATCCGCGGATTCGAAGATGCTCCGATGGTCATCATATGCGACAGAGCAGCAAATAGAGTTCTCATACTCCCTATGGCATCGTGATTAGCTGAAATCACTTACCATGGGACCGAATAAATGTCCATCCGTCGTAAATCCCAGCTTGTCACGCTTGTATGGAGGGCTGGCTGTTGGTGGGAAATTTGGCGGCGACAGTGCTCAGGGATACCCTATATTGGGAGAATTAGTGAAATATACTTTTATCATGGCAAGCTGCACCAAGGTAGACTCACAGAATTGCATGAGCTTGTTCGAGTGGGCCATGCTGTGTTGTGCTGGGCACTTATAGTGCGTTGATGTGACGGGCCAAGATCCAAGACGCAACACGCATGCATGCAGTAAATTGGGGTAGTAGCATCAAATTAACAAAGACCGAATTAATTGACATCGAAGGAAAAGAGACCGATTGGAACTTTTTCGGCTTGGTTGAGATGGAAGGATAACAGTGGACTCGAAATCTGGTCACGTAGAAGAGCAACAAAGTACGTTTACAATTCCCAACCGGTGGGGCAGGAGAGTTACAATATGACTACCATATTAGACGACGACTAAGCGTGGCTTCGGGCTCCGTCAATGGAAGGAACCTTGGAAGATTCCGGAGCCCTAGAAGTAGTAGACGACTAAGCGTGGCTTCTAAGCGCGGCTTGGGTGCCGTCAATGGAAGCAAGATTCCAGAGCCCTGGAAGTAGTAGACGACTAAGCGTGGCCTCCTATTCTCTAATAGGCTAAGGAGATCTATACAACCAAATGAACCTCAAAGCTGTTCTAGGATCTATGCCTCAGCCGCTGCTAAAGCCATTACCGAGCTTAAATGGTTTTAGGAAGTATTGCTGTATATAGCTGCTGTGTAGTTGCTGTATACCTATATCTGCATGTGGTCTATCATGCGTGCTCCATTAGTGGCGCCGGCCATGGTAGTACCCTGATTTTGATTGTAACCCCTATCCTTCACTAACGGTATATTGCACTATCTGGGACTGGTTTCTATCAGACAATGATATAGCCTCCCTGTGCATAAACAGATATCTTGGTATCTGCTAGCTGCTAGCTGCTAGCTGAATTCCCAACAGTTATGTTATGACGGCTATGCCCATAATGCACCCATTGCATCTACCTACCAATTGCCTTGAATACTGGGCTCATATTACTGGTAGTTTAATCTTTTGTCAAAAATATTCTAAGTTCGATGCATATAATTCAATGCGCTGAATCATTGTGCCAGATTCTTACAAAGGAAAGATGCAATATGCCTCTATCCGGGGTAATCCGGGCCATCTATGGTGCCTACATATCACACAAGTAGAATCCTCGTTTGCATTGTATATGCTGGTGATGTTGAAACACTACATCTGTAAGAAAAAGACGTAAAGTGACTCAGAGCGCTCATCTTGTGAGAATCATTAACTATCTACATATATTTATGTATGTAGTTATAGATTACATAGTAGATATTAGGGCATGATATGATCGCCTGATCCCAGGACGGGTAGATTCGGGTATACACGGGTATGCACGCCTGAGGCCTCTGGTCATCAACTGGCTGACATAATTATCTGACTTCACATAAATTTGCCTGAGGCAGAAAACACTTCCACTGCTGACATAACCTCACTGGGCCAACGCGATCCGACGCGTGGTGTTCGCGTGTCTAGATGAATCGCGCGACATCCTTTTGTCCTCCTTTCCCCCGAAACAATCGACGATCCGATCTACTCTTCTTTACGCACCCAACTCTATTTAATGGGTAGTGGTCTCTGAACAAACCATAATGCCTACGGCTCGCGAAAGATTGGCCGAGCTAAGGGCCCTCCGTGCCTCAGGAAAGAAACGAATTTCCACATATGAGGTTGAGGACCAGGGCGACATCTACGATGAGGTTGATGACGACGGCTACAAAAAGGTTATCCGAAACCGTCTTGATCAGGATGATTTCGTCGTCGATGATAACGGCGCCGGTTACGCGGACGATGGCCGCGAGGTATGGAACGAACAGACAGCAGAATATGACAGCGATGAAAGTGATGAACTACCCACACGAGGCAAGGCTGCCAAACGAAAGAGAGAAGAGGAACAACAGCGAAAGGAGAAAATAAACAATGGCATATCCAAGTACTTCAACAAAGGACAGGCTGCGGCTTCTGCTCCCAAGCCCAAGGTGAGTGCTTTTTGCTCATGGAATCCAACACCCTTATTCTGACAGTCCGTTTCACAAGCCCGCTGCTACTGCCGAGGACGATGCATTCATGGCCGATCTCCTCGGAGAAGTCGACACCAACGTTGTATCGAACCACGCCCCGGCACGAAACATTGTTAAGTCAGAGGCCCGACGCAAAGTTCGCGTTCTCTCCCCGCCATTGTCCGAGAAGCGTCGCCGCGAGAAGCTTCGCGCAAGAGACGAAAATGACATGCCAAGCTCGCCAATGAAGGACCATGCACTCCACTCTGACGATCTCGATGACGGCCATCTCCCGATGCCAGACGATGATGATGTTCCCATGAGCGATATCTTGCCCTCATCTCCAATTAGCAAAGCAGTGGAGCGGAGGAACACTGTACCAGTCAAGGCCGAAGAGCCAGAAGACGATGATGTTGACCTCATGGACGTTGCAGAAGTCACTGGAGACCCTGGCCTCAAAACGAAAACCATCAACATGACTGGCAGTCGACCGCCCCCGAAGATCAAGCATGACAATGCTCCTACACTAGCAAGCTCGTCCCCAGTCAAATCAATGCCAGAAGTAATGGATGCTTCTTGGAACGACGTGAGGAGCAAACTGAACGTTCTCAGCAGCCCAGCCCCGGAAATGCGATCCTTTGGGAAACTGCGCGCCCAAGATGTTGTCGAAGAGGATGGTAGCCTGCGCATATTCTGGCTGGACTATACTGAAGTCAACGGCAGTCTTTGTCTGTTCGGAAAAGTGAAGAACAAGCAAAATGGATCCTACACTAGTGCATTCGTTAAGATTGACAATATCTTGCGAAAACTTTATTTCCTTCCGCGTGAATATCGATACAAGCAGGGACGAGCGACTGAAGAGGAGGTTGGCATGCAAGATGTTTACTCGGAGGTCGACGATATGATGTCGAAACTTAAGGTCGGCATGCACAAGATGAAACCATGCGAACGAAAGTACGCATTTGAAATGCCCGGGGTCCCAAAGGAGGCAGAGTATCTGAAGTTACTCTACCCTTACGACAAGGCTGCATTGCCAATGGAAACCAAGGGAGAGACTTTCTCCAACGTTTTCGGTACCAATACCTCCCTATTTGAACAGTTTGTTCTCTGGAAAAATATAATGGGCCCTTGCTGGCTCAAGATCGACCAGGCCGACTTTGCTGCAGTAACCAACGCATCCTGGTGCAAGTTCGAATGCCAGGCCGCCAAACCAGCGCTCATCAGCCTCGTCCCAGATTCCGAGAACCTGGACGCTCCGCCCTTGACCTTAATGAGTCTCTCTTTCCGTACTCAGCTCAATGTCAAGGAGAACAAGCAGGAGATTCTCATAGCGAGTGCCCGAGTATATGAAGACGTTTCTCTAACTGATACCACTCCTCCAGAGAAACTTCCGTGCAAGACATTCACCGTCATGCGCCCTGCTGGTACATCATACCCAATGCATTTCGAAGCCGAAGCAGAAAGCCAGCCGGGGACTATTATGCTCGCAAAAAGCGAACAGTTCTTGCTCAGCAAGTTCCTGGCTATGTTTGAGAAGATGGACCCCGATGTGATCATGGGCCATCAGTTGCAGGATGTCGACCTGGGTATTTTACTCAGCCGGATGCGTGAAAAAAAGACACCTGGCTGGCATCGTATCGGCCGACTCAGGCGTGGAGATTGGCCGAAGAATTTCAACAAGGGTGGCAACTTTTTTGCCGAAAGGCAGTTGATTGCTGGAAGATTGATGTGCGATGTTGCCAACGACATGGGCAAGGTAATGTTTTTCTCAAAGTGGGTATATGACAATACTGACAGTCACTAGTCTCTTATGATGAAATGTCAATCGTGGAGTTTGACTGAGATGTGCCAACTTTACCTTGGTCAAGGCAATGTCCGCCAGGAATTAGATTCTGAAGCGGCATTGAAGACCTGGGCAACCACCAAAAAAGGTCTCATGAACTTTGTCAATCATTGCGATACAGATACATACTTCATTGCGGCATTGGTTCTGCGTCTTCAGATGCTCCCGCTCACAAAGGTCTTGACCAATACCGCTGGTAATTCGTGGGCACGCACACTTAGCGGTACGCGTGCCGAGCGAAACGAGTATATTCTGCTGCATGAGTTCCATCGCAACAAATACATTTGTCCAGATAAGTACTCGTCTCGTCTTCAGAAGGCTGAGGAGAAAATGCAAGATGGCGACGATGACGAGGCGGTCGACAAGAAGAAGAAGGACAAATTCAAGGGTGGGCTTGTTTTTGAGCCTGAGAAGGGTCTTTACGACCGATTCGTCCTTGTGATGGACTTCAACAGTCTGTATCCGAGTATCATCCAGGAATTCAACATCTGCTTCACAACAGTGGACCGAACAGCTACGGTAAATTGACCCAAGCAAAGCCCTCGTCTCGTTCGTGTGTTCTAATATATGCAACTAGGCCGAGAATGAGAATGAAGAAAAAGTGCCAGATGTTCCCTCTTCTGACCAAGAACAGGGTGTTCTACCTCGGCTGATCGCGACATTGGTCGGTCGTCGACGCGAAGTGAAGAAGTTAATGAAAGACAAGCGTGCCACCCCCGAACAACTGGCCTTATGGGACACAAAACAATTGGCCTTGAAGCTGACTGCCAATTCCATGTACGGATGCTTGGGATACACGCAGAGTCGATTCTATGCTCGACCTCTGGCAATGCTCACCACCTTCAAGGGACGTGAGATTCTGAGAAACACCAAGGAATTGGCCGAAAGCCAGCAATTGCGAGTCATTTATGGTGACACTGATTCGGTCATGATCAATACGAATATGGACAACATGAGCGACGCCATCAAGGTTGGCGAAGAGTTCAAGAAATCGGTCAACGAACGTTACCGACTTCTAGAAATTGATATCGATAATATCTTCCGTCGACTTCTACTGCATGCCAAGAAGAAGTACGCTGCTATCAACCTTACCGAGGTTGATGGCAAGTACGTAGAGAAACTTGAGGTCAAGGGCCTTGACATGAAGCGCCGTGAATACTGTGCCCTCTCGAAGGAGGTATCATCGAAGCTGCTCAACGAAATTCTGTCCGGTGAAGATCAGGAAGTTGTGCTCAACAAGATCCA